ATGGATGGATGGATGGATGGATGGATGGATGGATGGATGGATGGATGGATGGATGGATGGATGGAAATCAAGAAGAGGAGAAATGGCACTGAGAGACAGAAACAGATGATGGGGCCTCACAGCGAAGAGTAACTGCGTCTGTCTCTACACACTTACAGTTTTGGAGGAGCAAGAGACACTTGTAAAATAAGATACTTGTATTTTTAGGGGGTAATATATACATGTCTCACATCGCATAATCTTTTGATTTTCCTAAATGGAAGTGCATCTGTTTAGTGGTGCACCCATCATCAACGGTTTTCAGGGTGATAAATATCAGACGTCTAGTTATTTTAAAGTTGTGTAGTGTACCCCTTCTAAGAAATCCTCCAGTGACTAAAGCCACAGTCTCTGACTGTAAAGTCCATTTGAGTTTCTGACATTAAATGCTTCATGACAGGAAAACCACAGGAAGCATTAAAAATAAAAGATAGTTTAACTTACAGAAACAGTGGTGACCATGTTTTCAAACCCCCAGCATGTTATATATACAGATGTAAATGCTGCACAGTGGTAAGTCCTTTGACTATAATACTTGTTTGATTGTTTTCAGGGTCCTATTTGTCCATCCATCCATCCATTGTCCTCCGCTTATCCGGGGTCGGGTCGCGGGGGCAGCAGCCGGAGCAGGGAGACCCAGACTTCCCTCTCCCCGGCCACTTCAGCCAGCTCCTCCGGGGGGATCCCGAGGCGTTCCCAGGCCAACCGGAACACATAGTCCCTCCAGCGGGTCTTGTGTCTTCCTCTGGGCCTTCTCCCGGCGGGACGAGCCCGGAACACCTCCCCAGAGAGGCGTCCAGGAGGCATCCTGAACCGATGCCCGAGCCACCTCAACTGGCTCCTCTCCACGTGGAGGAGCAGCGGCTCTACTTTGAGCCCCTCCCGGATGGCCGAGCTTCTCACCCTATCTCTAAGGGAGAGCCCAGCCACCCTGCGGAGGAAACTCATTTCGGCCGCTTGTATCCGCGATCTCGTTCTTTCGGTCACTACCCAAAGTTCGTGGCCATAGACGAGGGTGGGAACGTAGATCGACCGATAAATTGAGAACTTCGCCTTTAGGTTCAGCTCTCTCTTCATCACGACAGACCGGTACAGCGCCCGCATTAATGCAGACGCCGCGCCGATCCGCCTATCGATCTCACGCTCCCTACCCCCGTTCGCGAACAAGACCCCGAGGTACTTGAACTCCTCCACTTGGGGAAGGACGTCCACTCCGACCCGGAGTGGGCACTCTACCCTTTTCCGGTGAGAGACCTTGGTCTCGGACTTGGAGGCACTGATCCTCATCCCAGCCGCTTCGCACTCGGCTGCGAACCGCTCCAGTGAGAGCTGTAGGTCCTGACTTGATGAAGCCAACAGGACCACATCATCTGCAAAAAGCAGAGATGCGATCCTAAGGCCACCAAGACTGACACCCTCAACACCTCGGCTGCGCCTAGAAATCCTGTCCATAAAAGTTATGAACAGGACCGGAGACATAGGACAACCTTGGCGGAGTCCAACTCCCACCGGAAACGGGTCCGACTTATTACCGGCAATGCGAACCAAACTCTGACTCCGGTCGTACAGGGACCGAACAGCCCGTAGCAAAGGGCCAGGTACCCCATACTCCCGGAGCACCCCCCACAAGATACCCCGAGGGACACGATCGAACGCCTTCTCCAAGTCCACAAAACACATGTGGACTGGTTGAGCGAACTCCCATGAGCCCTCTAGGACCCCGCTGAGGGTATAGAGCTGGTCCAGCGTTCCACGGCCAGGACGAAAACCACACTGTTCCTCCTCGATCCGAGACTCGACTATCCGACGGACCCTCCTCTCCAGAACTGCTGAATAGACCTTCCCAGGGAGGCTTAAGAGTGTGATCCCCCTGTAGTTGGAACACACCCTTCGGTCCCCCTTTTTAAATAGGGGGACCACCACCCCAGTCTGCCAATCCAGCGGAACTGGTCCTATTTGTGTATTTACTTATTCTTTTTTTCGACTCTCACTTTCTTACCCCAGAAAGTGGAACTCAAAAGTAGCTGGACTGTCTGTACCATCACCCTGAAATTCAGTAAATACAGAGTAACAGTCAGGAGACACACTTCTCTGCATGTTGAATGGGCCCATTTGTTCAAACCTTTGACTGGTACTATGAGTAGTTTCATCTTGGATATGCAGAATTTGAAGGTATTTCAAGCATTGTTGCACACTGGGATGAGAGCCACATCTTGTTAGAAATTCTCTACTGTTGCCTCTGTCTATTGTCACTGTTGTCTTCTTATTTTTTTATTTATTTGGCTCAGAGAACACTGGAATGAAACATTTTACACAAAGATAGAGAATATTTCTTTTTAAAGAGGTGTTGTTTAAAGTCACATCGCTCAATAAAGAAGTGGTAAAACCCTTAAGGCTCTATTTAAATGTTTTGGTTATCGTTCTTTGCAACTTGACATGCAATACATGATGCATGACACTGCAGAGAACCTGCAAATACTTTACCATTTTCAAACGTTTTCAATCATCACTACAGGAAGCTGCTATAATACTGCGGAGTTTCCACCTATAGACTGAGCATAATAAGTTCTTGTTCTGTGTATTTCTTGGTCCAGCAGTTCCAATATTTACACGTCATCACAAGAGTCCGTTTTTGTGCCCTCCTATTGTGCTGTGGATCGTGACTAGCGGTGTTGGCTCATCATCGATGGTGGAGTAGACATGGTACGTGTCAGCCTTTGATAAAAAGGACAACACCAACTCTTTAAATATGGTTTATAGGATAGAGCGTGAACACTAACAGCTGTATCCAACTTACATTTTTATTTTCAGAGTCCTCTGTTGTCAATTCCTCCAATCCTGCAAGAAATATATAAACTATCATCTATCATCTTTCAGACTACAGAGATTTTACAATCATAAGGTTAGGAATGTATATATTCCATACATCTGTTTATCCATATTTTTGTTTTGTTTTCTGTCACAGAAACTCACCAATAGAGGCACTGACTGCAGGGGGGG